CAGTTTGGCCCCGGAGAGCGAGAGCCCGGCGCCTACGTGGCCCCCGGGGCTGGCCCCAGAACCCTGTTCCTTACCCTGCCTGACATCGGCGAGGAGGGGGTCTCGGACGGCGACTCCGGGGATGGCGAAGCGTGAGTAGCAGCGTGGTCCGGGCGCGTATACCTTTTGCTGGGACCCCTGACCCCTTTGCCTGCCGCACTCACCTTCGCAGGTACACTTTATGAAATGAAATATTTGTAGTAACTTCCATAACCCCAGGCACCCTCCTTGCACGTTTCCTGGATCCTTACTCCTTGGCTTTGCGGGCTTTCAGACATAAGCTGTGACATGCTTTGTCCAACTTTCTGAGAATGAATCCTAAGGCGGCTTGAAGGAAGGGACAGAATTTTGTTTCTCTTCTACCAGAAGCATTGCTACTTAGAGCGTTTGTGTGGTTTTCTTGAGGACTTTTTGAAGTCCCTTTGTCTCAGAATATAGTAGGTATGCAGGGAAACAGAATACACACATCTGCAGCAAGTATTTTAAGAAATGGTGAGACCTTGTGCTTTCCTGATTTCTAAGGACCAGCCCCTAGTCTTATCCCAAGTGGGATGGGCCTCCTTTGTGTGACATCTAGTTAATTTATACATGCATAACACCATCTGACACAAATGGAATTGTAATGGCCAGGACATGTCTGATTATTACCTTAGAGCTCCTGAGAACTTGCCACAGTGCCCTGAGTTACTGCGGAAACGTTGACTTCATGGGAACATTTTCATTGGGAATCGGAAGCCACTTCCCTAAACACACACACACCCACACAACACCCCTTTCACTTCCGAGAGTCGTGATAAAAACATTGCTCTTTTAAAATGTGTTTTAGAACTAAGATGAGTTTTAATTTTTAGACAGTGGAGCATATTGTTATTCTTGAGTGGGTAAATTTTCATCCTGAATGCTGCAAAGAAATAGTGAAATGGTCAAAGACAAGTGAGCCAATTCACAGACTGGGGTTTCTGCGTTGTAATCTAGTGAGGCCATTCCCTACTCCCTTCAAAAAATCCTGAGTAATTTTTGCATTCATACTGATCCTGACTCATTCACAATTTAAATAATTACAGTTTCACAAAATTGCATGATATTCATGTCAATATGAAAATAAGCGGCCGGGCACGGTGGCTCACGCCTGTAATCCCAGCACTTTGGGAGGCCAAGGCGGGCGGATCACGAGGTCAGGAGATCGAGACCATCTTAGCTAACACGGTGAAACCCTGCCTGTCTCTACTAAAAATACAAAAAATTAGCTGGGCGTGGTGATGGGCACCTGTAGTCCCAGCTACTCAGGAGGCTGAGGCAGGAGAATGACGTGAACCCGGGAGGCGGAGCTTGCGTGAGCCGAGATCGCGTCACTGCACTCCAGCCTGGGCAACAGAGCGAGACTCCGTCTCAAAAAAGAGAATAAGCAGTTAAGCAAAAGGTTGTTCCCACTCATTAAAAAATACTATATTATGACATATTTATCGACTGATAGTTTTCCCTAAAACTATCAGTTAATTGCTTTTGGAAAACTCACTGGAATACGTATACCTGAGGAATTAGACCATTGTTATTGGCAACTGGTCCTTAACATTTATGCAATTAATGTTTTATGAGCAAACAGATCTACACACTGACCTTAAACGCTAGTCTTAGTGCTTTTAACAAATAGGCACTGAAATATGCAGCATGGCCAGTGAAAGAACTGGTATTAGTTTCAATTCTTGAACATATTAGCTCATGTTTATATTGTGCAAATATTTGCCATAGACACTTTTTGCACTGCATTTGGCATCATTTACATAAGAGATTATTCTGAATTAACAAATGCATTCAATTTTACGGACAGTGAAGAAATTGAATTTTTAAATTATTATTATTTTTTGAGATGAGGTCTCCCTCTGTCACCCAGGTTGGAGTGCAGTGGTATGATCACTGTTCACTGCAGCCTCAACCTCCCAGGCTCAAGCGATCTGATTCTCCTGTCTCAGAGTCTTGAGTAGCTGGGACCACAGGTGTGAGCTGCTAGGCCTGGACAATTTTAAGAATGTTTTTGTGGAGACGGGGTCTCCCTGTGTTGCCCAGGCTGGTCTTGAACTCCTGGCCTCAAGCAATCTTCCTACCTGGGCACAACTGGGATTATAGGCATGAGCCACTGCATCTGGCCATGAAATTGGATTTTAGGTAAGTGCCGTGAGAAGTAATATACACAGCTAGGTGCTTTGCAGAATCCTCCTGAGTTTGTGTGCTCCTGCTGTCTGCAGCCGCAGGTAAAGACACACACAGGCAGGAAGCAGCCTGGCCTGTGAGCACATACCATTTTCCCTTCCAGATCCATGGCTACTCACGTTCCCTTCCTCTCATCATACCCCACTCCTTTTTCAATCACTAACACATAAGAGACGAAGGGGAAGGAAGAAAGTATTAAGGTCACTTTTCTTTCAGTACTACAGACTGCACCTTGAAGGATTTTTTTTCCTCCTGGATTTCTGCGGTGGTGATTTATAACACCGAATAAACAAACCTAAGACAATGAATTTAAATTTGCTTCTACCATCTCATCTGTCACTTGGCAAATAGCTGCTGCTGTTAGCCTGCGTGGTTAGTATTAAAATCAAGAATTTGAATTTCAAAAGCTTGGGAACATGGAAAGGGAGAAATGGATAATGTCAGAGAAAAAGAAAAAGAGTGATGAGAGAGAATGTGAACACATATAAAGGAAACGTAAACCTATCTGTAAGAAATGTGGATCTAATTTTAAGGCTGTGGCACTGAATTTGAAAGGAAAGCCCTACTAACAGTTTATACTTTTTTTTTTGACAATAACGCATACATTTTACATTTGCCTGATTCTGTACTTGGCTTAAAAAAAAAAAAAAACTCAAAGTAGTGAAATTAACTTGAGTAGGAAAATATGCAAACTGTCCTGCAATTTCGAGGCTTTTTTCCCCAAACAAAGGTGCTGAATAGCAGCAGGGGTTTTTAATCTGACCCGAGAATTCTGTAAGTGAAAGGCCCATGGAACGGAGACTGCCCCATTCACTCCACAGGACATACTGGCTGCACATCTGAGCCAGAGGCAGAGGATACTGAGCTCTCTTTCTTCACCTCACTGTCCTGCATCCCTAGATGTGTGATCCAACACCTTTAATCTTCACCTTGGCTTCCCTGTGCATTTCATGTATATATTATGCCTCAGTGTTTTTCGGTCTCACTCACCCCTCTTCACTACCTCTTTTCACACTTCTGGTTTGAACCACACAATACACCTTGTGAAGGTCTTATTCTCTTATTTGTTCTGCAAATCTAAGAATTCCTAGCAATATGTAAGGTGGATAGATTGATAATTGCTGTGTATGAATGTTGGTAGAGTGTAAACTTCTAGTCAGGAAGTATTTATAGCTTGTATAAGTCATAGTTATTAGCAAGCATATACTCTTTTTTTTTTTGAGTGATTGAGTTCCATTGTTAAAATAATATTACTGTGGATACATTGCAGTGGCTGCTTGAATGACTTGTCAGCATGGCTGGCAATAAAGTGACTGGAGGGACTCATCTTGATTCCTCTGACACTGAGGCAGCCTCGAATGTGATGAAGCCTGTAGACCCGGAAACCAGACAAGGTGGATTCCACCTCAAGCCAATTGCTAGCTGAGTAATTCTGGGCAGGTTTTTCATTTTTCCCTAGCTGTACTTTTTCTTTCATGATAATATGGAGGCGATAATACTTTCTGCATCGAGGTACTCCAGAAATTAATTGAAATAATATATTAAGTAACATATGGAGAAATGCAAAAAAAAAAAAAAGTGTTATCTATGATTACTACCTGCTTCTTGGCACAGAAATGAAAATTGAGAGCCATGTTTTATTGAAGAAACATTCTAGGTGAAGGAAAGACTGAGAGAGAAAAATGATTCATTATATTTACCATGTGACTGTAATAAATGGCATCTTTTAGTTCAGTTATTTGGGAGAACAAATTATCGTACATGCCAATCTTTCATCATTACCTTCCCTGCATGACTTACAGAAGATAAGGGTTAGTTTAATTAACATTACCACTGAGCGCTGTGTAACACCCAGAAGGAAATGCATTTACCACTCTGGGATCAAACTTCTAATCTGCAGAATAATCAGTAGCATCACAAATCGTACATTTGGGTAGCCCTTGTCTTTTCCTCCACTGAAACCGTGTGATTTATATTCACATCTTACATCCGTTATCAGACTATAAACTCTTTGTCCTGTGACACTTAAGGGAACGCATGCCCATGAAGGACTTTTAGCAAGTATTTATTGAATGGATGAAGAAAGTATTTTCTTCCTTATATACCCACTGTCTTGGGTTTCTAATCTTACAAGAACCCAGGGGCAGTTTCAATGTCTTCCTTTCAGAATAATTATTGTCTTGGGTCTCTTTGTTTCATTGTCTGGAGTTTTTCCAAAGTTGGTAATGCTTTCTGCCGGGACTTAGCCTTTCCTCAGGGATGAACAGGGAGCTCAGTGTACAATTGTCACGTGACCATTTCTTTCATTAAAAGTAATAATGAATTCAACTTGGTTTTCCATATGAAGTATTTGCTTAAACCTGAGAAAACAATTTTGTTCTGTGTTATGCAGTAGACTTTTGCTGTAAATTATCCTCTTTCTCTGTTGTTATATTTCAATCTTTTTTTTTTTTTTTTTTTTTTGAGACAGAGTCTCGCGCTGTCACCTGCCTGGCTGGAGTGCAG